AATATCTGAACTATTCCTGGGCCTCGCTTAGGTCGACTCAGCCTTAAAAGATTGCATGGTCTCATCTTCTTGGTTCTTTCGGTAAAGTCACGTAGAAGGGAAGTAATAAAATAATAAAAATAAAACATAATAAAACAATTCTCACGACGTTTCGGCCACAACGCAAGCAGCCGTCCTCAGGTGAAAACCAGGTCCGTCGAGGCGACAGAGTCTGAATGAAACAGCACACGAGCTTGGAGCATATATATAAGCTGGGCGCATTGACAAAGGAATTTGCATATCAAAAGGAATTTAGCATATTTATTTTAGCATATTTATGGCAAATTCCTTTGTCAATGCGCCCAGCTTATATATATGCTCCAAGCTCGTGTGCTGTTTCATTCAGACTCTGTCGCCTCGACGGACCTGGTTTTCACCTGAGGACGGCTGCTTGCGTTGTGGCCGAAACGTCGTGAGAATTGTTTTATTATGTTTTATTTTTATTATTTTATTACTTCCCTTCTACGTGACTTTACCGAAAGAACCAAGAAGATGAATCCCTGCAGTCACGAAAGCTTTAAATCGAAATTGCATGGTCTGCTGTTTAATCATTAGCACTTGACATCGGTGGCCACGAATAGTACTTGCACTAACAGTCTGTATGGCTACCAGAGGATCAATACAAAGCAGATGTGGGATATAATCACTGACAATATCAATACAAAGCAGATGTGGGATAGAATCACTGACATGATCAATACAAAGCACATGTGGGATAGGATCACTGACATGATCAATACAAAGCAGATGTGGGATAGAATCACTGACATGATCAATACTGACATGATCAATACAAAGCAGATGTGGGATAGAATCACTGACATGATCAATACAAAGCAGATGTGGGATAGAATCACTGACATGATCAATACAAAGCAGATGTGGGATAGAATCACTGACATGATCAATACAAAGCAGATGTGGGATAAAATCACTGACATGATCAATACAAAGCAGATGTGGGATAGAATCACTGACATGATCAATACAAAGCAGATGTGGGATAGAATCACTGACATGATCAATACAAAGCAGATGTGGGATAGAATCACTGACATGATCAATACAAAGCAGATGTGGGATAGAATCACTGACATGATCAATACAAAGCAGATGTGGGATAGAATCACTGACATGATCAATACAAAGCAGATGTGGGATATAATTACTGACAATACCAATACAAAGCAGATGTGGGATAGAATCACTGCCAATATCAATACAAAGCAGATGTGGGATAGAATCACTGCCAATATCAATACAAAACTGATGTGGGATAGAATCACTGACATGATCAATACAAAGCAGATGTGGGATAGAATTACTGATAATACCAATACAAAGCAGATGTGAGATAGAATCACTGATATGATCAATACAAAGCAGATGTGGGATAGAATCACTGACATGATCAATACAAAGCAGATGTGGGATATAATTACTGACAATACCAATACAAAGCAGATGTGGGATAGAATCACTGCCAATATCAATACAAAGCAGATGTGGGATAGAATCACTGCCAATATCAATACAAAGCAGATGTGGGATAGAATCACTGCCAATATCAATACAAAGCAGATGTGGGATAGAATCACTGCCAATATCAATACAAAACTGATGTGGGATAGAATCACTGACATGATCAATACAAAGCAGATGTGGGATAGAATTACTAATAATACCAATACAAAGCTGATGTGGGACAGAATCACCGACATTATCAATGCAAAGTATATATATGCTAGAATCACCTTTTCACGAGCACAGGTTCCGCTTAATAAGCTACAATTGTCTTGTGTTCATGAAAATGCACGAGCAAACGTGGCAGGTCACGCAAATGTAGCATAGGGAACCCCCGTTCGAGTGCACTGAGGTGTGACGAATGATTGTGGATGTGATATAGATTTTTTGACAGCTCATAGCGTGGTGCTATGGTCATTGACGCAATACGCTAGGAACCAAGAGACCTGTGTACTTTCGATTCTTGTCCAAGCCGTCATTTCACTCGACCCGCGATGACGAGCGTGGGTAAAGTATGATCAAACAATCCCCATAACCCAACGCAGCGCGAGGAAACCTTCATGCAGCAGCAGATTAACAAAGGGCTGTAAACGAAAACAATGCCGTGTTACACACACGCAACATATTCCAAAGCAGTATTTTCCAAAAGGCGCAATTAACGGCACACAAGGCACATCACACACCTTCTACAGCCGCATTATTAAAATAAAAACGATTAGCATATTGCCACAAATCTGAAATTATTGCATTTCAGTAGTGAGCAGCCGTATTCGATTCTCAAATGCTGCTACTGAGACAATTGTGCTAAAACAAAATTCAAACATAAAAAAACCCTTCACTGTTATAGATATTATCTTCATGCAGAGACCTCCTCAGTACCTGGAAGATATATTTCTCGATGATATACAAATCGCTCTATTTGGACACCTCTCATACGCAGGCGTTTGCACATGAGGCCGGACAGTGCTCTCGGGATGACTGATGCATCCAAATTAATCTTCCCAGCCCAATGATATCTCCACACTTTGCTGACCTGCTTATGCCGTCACATTACGTTCCGGTGTAAGTAACGTCGTTTGTCAGACCACAGTCTGCTACGGTCCCTGGGAATGTAATTTCCCCGCCACCCTGGAGTCATCTCAGTCGGGGGCATGCCTTCTTCTCTTTCCCATTACTCCACCTCTTAGGTTGATCAATGAAAGGGAAATAAATAAAGAAGTCTCTCCACGGCACGTGACCAGAATACCAAACCTCTATATCTCACACTGTAGAGGCAAAATATCGTGCAGCCTATTTCCAGATTTTTTTTATTATTTAGCAGGAACGCATTAACAGAGCCTAAACAATATTTTTTAAAAATGTTCTTCGTGGGATTTTTGTTAATATATACAGTGTGTTTTTGCGCGTGGGAAGACGCTGCAGTAGCAGAAGAAAACACATGGCTATCTTCTATCCAGCGATTAAATACAGAGACACCTGTGTAGATTCTGGATATAATATATATTGCAATTAGTTTATTATCTAAGACACTATAACAGCTGGACAAACTGACGCTTAGTATTCCACACGTGGAAAAATATATATATAAAAATATACAGTATCACCCAATAAACCTGTAAAATGTATAAAACACATGTTGATATCAATAAGGCAAGTTGTATATTTCTCCAGTACTTGATTATCACAAGGCCTAGCTGACCCCCCCAAAAACACCTCAAATCAATGCTCCCTTGTTCAATGTGAAATAAACAAGTAAAAGTGTTTCTGGCATCCAATAGCAAAACAAAAAAGTTTGGCTAATGATGTTGCATGAGCAAAACCAGCAAAGGGTGCTAAAACACGTGTAAAACGACGGTGGGAAAAAAAGTATAAATGTGCAGCCCCTGCAAGTGCTTGCTAACACCACTGCTGGCAAGAGCTCTCAGGAGTCATCTGCTCTCCTGACCAGATGCGTTGGAAGAGGTGGCAGTACCCACAGACTTGCTCTCAAAATAAGGTCCGGCGGCAGTACAGGGTTAACATCTTTGCAATTAGCACTCACTTATCGTGCGTACAACAACGACGCAGCTCGTTTGCACGCAATACATTTTGTTGTTGTTGTTGTTCGTTCGTTTGTTTGAAGAGATGGCAAAAGATCGCGCCTGCCAGGTGCACGAGGCATGGCAATCGAGCGTGCCGCGTAATAACGCGGAGTGCTCCATAGAATGTGTAAAAAATAAAATATATATCTCGACACAGCAACTACTGTACATTGCGCATCGGCATTCATAGGCTCGCGCACTCAGCACTCCCCGAATATTGGACAGCGGCCAGTCCTATTTTTTGTGGTAGCACCGGCTCGTTGCCACGGCGACGCAAAAGAGCAGCAAACCCAAATGATCCTTTTTCTGGGGTGATAGCCTCGAGCTTGCACTGCATTGCACTTTCAGGTGATGTAATTAAAATATTAATCAAACATGTATTTCTGTACAACAACACTGCACACAGTGTTGGTGTACGGTGCTTTTTCTGCAATATTTTGCTGTCTTTTCTTGGATTTTCTGTTTGCACATAGTCACTTTAAGATGTTTTCTTGTTCATGTTTTTGTTTTTTTGTTTGTTGCGGTTGCACCCGATTCAAGAGCCGAATGGCTCACAGGGAAAAACCTAATAAATAATTGAAACTTGACACTTGCTAATCTAAATGCACCAATGGATGAAGGCCTCCCCACACTTTATCGAGGCCATGGGGGGGGGGGGGGGTTATCAAGACCATACTTGACCGTGCTGGTTATTGCCAGTTACTAAAGGTAGTGCAAATGGGGGGGTACAGGATCGGTTCCTATATCACTAGCCACCGATGTTAGCCATGGCCGGGAATCGAACTCAGGGGGTCATGTTGATAAAGCGACACACCATCTGCTGCACCACCACTCTTGTCTCTGATGGTTATTAAAGGGCAAAAACAAAGCTAAATTCATCCCATCAAAAGCACTGCATCATGAAATGGCTGGATGTAGACATAGGGGTTGCATTGATGCTAATGTCCCCCACTTTATATGACGGCCAGCACTTTGTGCGATCTCCATTAGATGGCCGGTAAACAAACAGCAACACCAATAGCACCTTGGGACGGGCCGATTGTCACCTGCGTTTGCATTCTACACAGTTTGCAGCTTTCGATAAAAGCTTCCGACCGCTCCCGGGACCCTTTTCCAGTGCACCCATTGTGCCCTCTGCAACACCTGCTTCGGGGGGGAAAAATAGGCAGTTAAACAAACTCTGTTGCTGCTGAGAGAGTGAGAAGGGGTAGAATAAACACAGGGGAGGCAGGCCGGACCGAGCGAGCGAGCGAGAGCGGAACAAAGAGGAAGAGAAGGAGCGAGCAAGAAGGAAAGGTGGAGAGATGCCTGGAGAGCGGAGGCGACTGGGGAGTGAACTGGCGGGCGGCCACTCACGTCTTGAAGTGGTGTGCCAGCGTGCCCACGAGCTCTCCCACGCGTTCCGACGGCTGGTTGAGGCACACGACGAAGTCGTCGGAGCCCTTCACGTGGAAGATGACCAACTGGTCCCGGCCTGAGGAGACGCTCATCCCAGTCACCTGCGCGCAAGAACGGAGGAAGTGCAAAGGAGTTCCATGAGAATCGGTGCCATGCAAAGCACACGCACGCGCACCCACCAACGTTATAGCCTTTAACGGACCGTATGGGCGAGTTCTGTTAGCGAGCAACTATTAAGGCGACACGGCACACGTGGGGGTGAGTGGCCAGCAACACGCCCGGCCTCCTTTGTTTCCCCAGTGACGATGTTTAAACACCACACCAGGTACTCATTTGAGGCTCAGTCGACCTAGGGGAGGCTCCGGACCAGTTCAGATATTCGTCACTGTCATTGGTCGAGAGCGGAAATCAAACTCGAGCAACCGGCTTTGTAAAGCTGTGCGCTAGCCACTGCACTACCGCTCCCCATACATACACATGCAAACACACACGTGCACTTTCAACAAGTACACATGTACGGGCACACGCACAGACACGCGTGCGTACGCAGGTATAACTATGCACCAGAAGTGTGTATGTACGTGCGTGTGTTCACGTACAGCCATTTTTTCAATCCACTACTGGACGAGGGCCTTCCCACTCCGTGTGGCTCGTGAGGGTTTTTTGACAATACTTCACAAGATGTTAATAAGATATTCTACGTAAGCGGTGAAATAACGGTCCACCGCATGTCAAGTTACAGTGATATTTGGCACGAGTTGCCATATTTAATCGAACACTATTTCAAATTGGTTAGAGTGCATGGATGTAAATTAAATTTAAGCCTTTAATTTAAATTGAGCAACATTCTGTAAAGTATCAGTTGGTGATAATATGCATTGACAGTAATATGCGAGTAAACAAAAACGCTATTTGGCACAAGCTTCATATATTTTTTACAATTTACCACCAGTTCCCAAGCACAATTCAACAACATTAAACGTTAACCCCTTGCGATATTAAAATTGATCTGCTTGGCACAACAATTTCATCTGAGCATCAGTCAATGGCCGCATCACTAATCTGGCTAAAGAAGCATCGAAGAAGCTTGGAATTTATTTTCCATCCTATCTGTGCCAAAGCCTCTGTAACTCCAAACTATTATTCTTACTACTGCTGCTATTCAAAGTACAAATTATGCAAAGGAAAAATCACTGCAAACACTTAACGGTGAAGAGGTCAATTGAGCAAAGCGGCCAATCGGAATACGCGTTACTGCAAGTGAAATACTAAAATCGGCCAACAGGCTCATCCAGTGCGGAGACTTCTGAAGGCCACGAGCACGTGTGATAATAATGACAGGGGGATGGTAGTTGGGCAGATGGCAACACATCAGTGGGAGATTGAGGTGGAATAAATCATCGCTAATTGTTGAGTACATTTATAAACCGAGATCTATCACGTGTAAATGTGTCGGGCAGGATTAATGTTTCAACTTTTAAAAAACGCACGTAATTGTGATGTTGTGCACACCAGCCCGAACAGAGAGAGATTCAAATGCATTTAGAAATACACGGCAATGCACAGGAGCAACATTTAACATGACAAAGTCAATTTGAAGAATCAAATTTGAAGAATCAAATTGACTATTTAAACTATTACACTTTTTATTTTACCAGGTAACGCCCACTAAGTTATTTAGCTCTTTTTTCAGAGACGACTTGGCCGCATATGATAGCTCGACGAAGTGGCTTATCACGTGGACATTTATTGCAGCCGAAAACATGTTTCTAAATTGGGAAGGAAAAACTGGAGGACCCATAATAAAATCCACGCGACCACAGGGAGATGATGCAAACTCCAAATATGCAGGCGTCAGGATCGGGATCAAACCCACGACCTCCTGTGTACCAGGCGAGGTAGTTGACATTTGGACGCCATGGTGCCCCAGAAAAACGGACAGTTTTTCAGTTTATAGGCGGAGCATGATCCAATTTTAGGCAAAGCATGATCCAATTTTGAAGTTGTGACATGAAACAAATTACTATACGTAAACAACGTTGGCACAGTCATGATTTGTGAGCTTCTAATTTTCTACTGATGTCATTTGTTAAATTGTTGACTTTATTGAGAGAATACATTCCAGTTCACTCTATGCTGTGATGAGAAGTGAGATGGGCGAGGGAGCGGTGTTGTTGTGGCTCGAGAGATACGGACGTGGGATTGGGAGAAATGGTTGGAGGTGTGGGTCGATGGGAAGGATAGCAGAGAGGTCTCATCTGGCCCTTAAAGGGCAATCCAGGTAATGAGAAAGCCCCTTCTACTCGCCACAACATAATTCCCAAACCAAGCAAGACCCAAATCAACACACCTTCATAATCCCCCTCCCTCCCCAATCCCTCATCCCACACTTCTCACCTCCCTTCGCTCAAACTGTACCAAGTTGACGGGAGCCAATTAACGTATATCTCGCGCTTTCACTCTGCTCCTGAACCATGGAAACAGCCGTGCATCTGCCCCATCCTGTAATGGTGGTGGTGGAACACTGGATGTGAGCAGCAGGATTGGAGAGATCCATATATGTACGATGAACTTATTCCACACCGTACGTAGCCAACCGTGCTAATCGGAGGTGCAGGGGAAGGTCAACAAACTAAACACTAGAAGCAGTTCTAAAGAAATCCCAGATTGAGATGAAGGCGAGGCTGTGCGGTACTTGTGTGTGTGTATCTACCTATGGCACACATGCACAAATAGGGTGTGTCCTGGCTACTTCTGGAACATGTATAAACAATTATTAACTGTACTCTTTGGTTCTTTCGGTAAAGTCACGTAAGTATAAAAAACATTTTATCACGACGTTTCGGGCGCAACACAAGCGTCCGTCATCTGGTTGGACAACCACAGCAAGAAACTATTGCTGATTAAATTTATTTTATACCTACGTGACTTTACCAAAAGAACCAAAGAGTATGGATCCCTGCAGTTACGAAAACTTCAAATCTAAATTATGAACTGGTTGAAAACATCTTAATTTATTGAGTGTGTGTGGCGCTACCTAACAGCACTTGCCCCAACACTCCATTACGTCTATATGGGGGATCTTTGTCTTTGTGGTGAACGTAGCCTCTTGCCAGACAGACTGCAACACTTCACGCGGCCTCAACGTATTTGTGCATGTATGTTGAACTTCTTTCGCACCGTACGTAGGACAACAAACTAAACACAAGATCTGCTAAGATTGGCAGATAATGTTTTGTTGAATGGTTTACGTCAATCACTTTTATTGGTTTTTGGAGCAAGTATCAACCATGTGACATATCGCCCTCTTTGCGATTCAATCATTTTACATGAACGTGGGTCGCAAGTTGATTTAAGAACGAATTCTCTTGGGAATAGGTTTTTTCCCCCTTTTTTCTGGCAACAAAAAAAACACCTTTTACAAGGAATCATGTCTGCATTAAACACAATACTTATAGTCAGAATGCAAAAAAAAATACTCTGATAAGAAATGCATTGTCCGTGAAACTGATTGGTCCACACCAGAGACAGCTTTCTTTTGAGCCTCGTCTCAAACGGTGTTAGACAAGAGGACGCCAAAAGGCGTACAAATAATTATCTTGTTTAATATTGTGCTCAATGTAGCGCCACTCGAGGCTCCAGGAGTCACATGAACCAATTAAAAACAAGAAATGTGAATATAAAATAATCGATTCTCGCCAGTACGATCACACGCACGTACCACGAGTTCGGGAATCGATTTTAACCAATATATGCACCGCATTGGGACGGGCTTAGCACGTGGGGAATAACTTGTTTGCTCGAGTGGTGAAAACTGTACAAACGTTTAATTATTTAAATTATAAAAAATTATTTAAAAAAAATATTCTTTCGTAATAAAAAAAAAATGATGCATATGAACAAACTAAACTATGGTCTCCGTGGAATAATCGTCAGTCACTGTGAGTTATTTATGTACTAGCGGGAAGCACCCGGCGTTGCCTGGGGGAAAAATATATTTAAAAACTTATAAAAACTTAAGAACATAACATATACACAACGCGCGGTGGAAATAAGAACTTACACTCGCGCCAAGATTCGATTCTTTAAATCGCGCTAAGGAATCGAAGGAGGTCGATTTCTTTAGAATCGGCCTATTCCCGTTTAATCGATACCACAAACGCTCGCCAAATATCGATTCTCGCCAAATACAAATTTGTATAGGTTTTACATTGTGTGCAGTATGGGAGCGAGCCACATGGCAAATTAAAATTTTGTAACCTATGCGTGACGTCAGCAGGCACACTGCGTCACTCTACCACATGCGGGTAACATGACGTCACCGCTCACTTGCGTGCAGCCATCTGCGCACTCATCAAAACCCAACAAAATGACAAACGTGCCATGGTCATCATCAACTATGATTGACGAACAAGAATTAGGCCCCTGCCTTTGGATAACATTTTGCACAGTAGATCAAAGATATTTTGATACACAACTTGCTGCCTATTTAATACCAATTCTTAATCGTGTGACAAGGTTGTCCGTACCTCGAATATTAAACAACATTTAGCATTGTGAACACGTAGTTCTTTGAATAATACGCTGGTAGCACTTGGCTTTTAAGGACCGTTAATTCATACTCTTAGTTCTTTCGGTAAAGTCACGTAGGTAATAAATGAAATTTAAATTAATAAAAAAGAAAATAATTATTAATTTTAATTTCATTTTTTACCTACATGACTTTACCGAAAGAACTAAGAGTATGAATGCTTGCAGTCACGAAAGCTTCAAATCTAGAACCGTTAATTCAATCATATATGAAACATTATTGTACCCCACATGAAGGTCAGAACGGTACACACTACTGCTTGACTCAATTTATCACTCGGCCTTAAGATTTGCATTGAACTGCCCATATAGGACCCACCACTGCGATCTCTACATTAGGTCAAACTTAACTTCTCTTAATGATCGATGGCTTGTGCATCAGATCTTATTTATTCACGATGTACTTACAAAAAAATCAGCAGACTACCTGCTGGATCTCCTCACTGTTTCGAAGAACAAATGTGACCTAAGGTCTTCACTCATTTACCAGCTTCACGTTCCTTATTGCCGTACAAATACTGGAGGAAGGGCCTTTGCTATTGATGCCCCCAGGGACTGGAATGCTATCACCAATTAACTGCAACTTGGATCACTACCTGTGAGATCTTCACTCAAACTGCTCTAGAGGAGTTGTACACCCCTAGCTGCCACTGCTATTCAGAATGGCCTAAAATCAAATGTATCATTCCGGATGACCACTGCAAAGTATGATCTTGAGTTTTGATTATTGTATGCTGATCTTTAAAGGTGTATTGAAATGTTTTGATTCTGCTACTGATACTCTTGCTGTTATGGAGTGACTCATGCAGTCAACTATGGCTGCAAAGTTTGGTCGTACATGTTATATATATCGTTTATTGTTAAATTTGAATCACAGTTCCTATGATCCCTGTTACATTGTTTTATAGCTTTATTTTGGTAATTTTGAAAAGTTTTGTTTTAGCCATGTTTGTTGTAGTACAGAGTTAGCATGATAACTTTAATCTACATTGTCTTACGGTTGTTATTGTTTGACTTACATCCCACTGGGATTTTTGCACACAGCGTTGATATACGGTGTTTTTTCTGGAAGACTGCTGTTTTTTCCAGGATTTTTTCTGTTGCGTGTAGTCACTTTAAGATGTTTCTTGTTCATGTTTTTGTTTTGTTGCGTTTGCACCCGAGTCAAGAGCCGCATGGCTCACAGGGTTATACCTAATGAATGAAACTGAAATGAAACTGAACTACTGCACCATGTACTCATTTGAGGCTGAGACGACCTAGGGGAGGCCCAGGACTGGTGCAAATAATCGTCACTGGTGTTGGCCATGAGCGGAAATCGAACTCGGGTCGCCGGGTTCATAGCGCAACGCACTAACCAATACACTACCCGCTCTCCACTAGAAATACACACACACGCGCAAACACACGGGTGCCCTATAGACTGTGTGCGGCACCATGTTAGCCTCAAGAAACAGGCCAAAATATGAGTCTGTATGCACACATATGCAGCAGACTCCACTACTGACATTAATTATGGACTATAACTGTCAGACAGGATTTATCAACATCTGCCATGAGATAAAAATTCACGGGAGCAAATGTCACAACGCATTTGTAAGTTTCTGGTTGGGCAGGCAGCCTTGGCCTAATTATGAACCACACGTTCTTGAATAAATTCTCATCAATAAAAGATGCATCTGCACGGACGGGGAATCCATTTGACTAACAACAGAGCAGTAGGCAAAGGCGAAAATGGACCGTAAACGACATCTACAGTGAAAATGAAGCAATGAAATTAGCTAATGTGGAGATGCTAGATAAAGTGCTGTTGCATCGTGGGACCATCAAGGTTGGCGCTGGCAGAGGGAGACGATCGAGCAGTGGCGGCTGCTGATGACGATAATGATAAACGCAATTTAGGATACCCCAATTTAGAAATGCTGATTAATTAATGGCAGTGTGAGTGCAGTGTGTTGCCAGGGTGCGCGTGGTGTGCGTGTGTGCTCGTGGGGCAGCCCCTTGCACTCACATTGGTGAGCGGGACACTTTTCATAGACTTGTAGTTCTTGAGTGGCTCCAGCTTGTAGAGGTGGCGGTCGGTGATGAGGAGGCCTCTGCTGGCGCACTTGTTAAACCTGTTCACCTGCCAGGGGAGAGAGAGAGAGACACATACGGGTAGGGGGGGGGGCAGGCGATGGTACCCGCTTCCAAGAGAAAAAAACATAAAACGAGCCTCCAAGCCACTTTGTCTGGCGATGGTCCTTCAGCGAGGTTTCATTGACATTTTTATCGGAGGTTTTTGAGAGCGAGTGTTCCGTTGTGATGCACGTACACACCGTCGACACAAGCCAGACCGGTTATGAGAAGCAAGGGGTATAGAAAGATTGGGGAACGGGACTCGCTGTCCCAAAAACCGTGGGTTATTTTCATTTTTTTTGCTGTTGTAACTTTGCCGATCTCGCCCAAAACTGGACATCTGTGGAAATGAGCTACATAGCTCATCGTATGTCTCCAGGATAAATCAAGCGTCTGATTTGGTTTGGAGTTGTCTCTTCCCCCTCTTACTTCGTCCTCCATCAAAATAAATGGATATCGATGTTATTTCATTTTACATTGAATTGCACGTGTTTACTGTTAGTTAACTAGAATGTGTAAAAAGAAAAAAATCGAGATTTGATTCCTTCCTCGAGAATGCCAAACCAATGTCACACCAAAACAACGAGGAATCGAGTAGAACTCTCGTGCACATAATGAGAATGGCAGCGCACCGTGGCCACCATTCTTTTGAACTGCATTGGCCACGATTGGTAAAAATCAGAGGTGGGACAAAGTCATTGTTATGCAAGTCCAAGTCGAGTCTGAAGTCATCAAATTCATGACTCGAGTCTGACTCGAGTCCAAGTCACATGACTCGAGTCCACACCTCAGAGGTGGGACAAAGTCATTGTTATGCAAGTCCAAGTCGAGTCTGAAGTCATCAAATTCATGACTCGAGTCTGACTCGAGTCCAAGTCACATGACTCGAGTCCACACCAGTAAAAATACAAACGGGAAACTGGATCACAACGATAGAGAGCACGGGGCACAGAATTGAGCCTCATTCGGTGACATGACGTTAATCCTTTCCCATTCCCAGACGTCTGAAAGTTGCAGGGTGGGGGTCCCCTTTCCCGCTGAATCTCGGAACGCCCAAGCCGTTCAGCGTTAATTTTATTTCGAGAGGGCGTAGCGTCATTGTTTTGAAAGACATTGCACTCACCGCAGAGAACTCTAGCGACACGACCGCACTCTATGACAGCTGGTACCAAACTGTGCCATACGCCCTCCCGCATGGCCTTGTGGGAGCCTCGGTATCGATAAAGTTATTCTATTTTAGCTTTTCTTCTGGTTTCGTTTTTATGATGTACGGCATGCACGTACGTCATCGGAAGAAAAACTGATGTTGTACGCCTACATCATCGGAATGGGAGAAGATGTGGCTTGGGCCCTTTCTTTCCCTCCGCCGTGCCCTGATCAAGAGACGTGGTTCTAGAAATGTAGGGACACGTATCAGCTCAGCGATTGAAATTGTTACCCACGGTACATGCAGTCTACTTAGACTGCAGTCTACTTAGACTGCATGTACCGTGTGTGGGTGTGCGTGACGCACTGTGAGCAAACCCAACACCACTCATTTACATTGACGTTCGCGTGAGTCACATGCCCATTACTGTTCATGCCCTGCCTGTTACGCTTACCAGCCTCGCGAAATGCCAAATACCATTCAAAGCAACGGTGAATCTAATCGATATTTTCCACCACCTCCTAACCGTGGGGGGAGCTTTAACATTTCAGAAAATGCAATTAAATCCGAACAATGGCTCCTCACAGCCATGTAACAGAAATTTGAGTCAACTGTACTGATTCAAAGATGAATGTACTAGCAAATTAGGACTTTATTTTTTAACCACTCGTGCAATCCATACAACACATTCAAGCGAAGGCAGTTGGAGCGCTAAATCATCTTTAAAAAATGTGAACGTCTTTACTCCTTTGTTAGTTTATTTATTTAAACGAATTTATTCTATTTTTGGACCACTGCTTTACCCCCCCCCTCCCCCCAACACGTCACGGGGCCACTCAGTCCTGGAGCTATACCAAGAACTCCTACATTATTAACGGAGAACCTTCGTGCATCTTTGTGAATCGTAGGGCTGCCAATCAAAGGAGCCTCCCACATTCAGCAGATTAACGGTTTCATCTCAGTCGACAGTGTTTCCGGCAAAAAACCCATAATGGGAAAAAAAAGATGTAAAAATATGCTGTTGTACTGAACGCTGTCAAATTCAGCTGAGAGGGCTTATTCGGCAGAAAAGCATTGTGAACCCACTCTGGTATTAACACTGTTGAAGGACTAAATGGTGACGTCACCCTGATGCTGCTCTATTTAAGACCGGAAGAAACAGGAGAGCTTCGCCATTCCTGCCCGATGAAGCTGATTGTAATTATCCGCGAAACGTCGTACTACTCAAATTTTAAAATGCTGTTGATTCTCTCTTAAACACACCGGTGGGCTAAAGAAGTGAATTATTTTGTCCTTTGAAAAACGTGACACATTTTTTACTGTTTGACCGTGTCGGGTGATGGAGGTTTACGACACATTTATAAATAACGCGATCTGACCCAAAAACCTATATTATGAATAATATTGGTCGCGAAAGCCTACGTGTTAATTTGACTGCTGAAGAGTGGTAAGTCTTGGTGATTGTGTGTATTCGCGTTTGTCACTTGTTGTATACATTCGCAGTTCGGGTCCGCCTGGTTAATACTGCGGGGGTGTTACCCATTAATATTTGCCATTTGCTTCACAGTGGACATCAAATATCCTACAATAGACATTGTAAGTCGTATGGACTGGCGTCACGATCTACATTTAGCAAATGAACCTCATGGCGGGACCCCGGGTTCCCAAAAGCCCCCGGCTCTCGCATAAACATATATAATGTCAACAAAAACTTTTCTCTTTTTCACCAATGGGTATGAAGGATGGTGGCAAGTGTTGTCTTTGTTAAACTATGCCTTTAAAACTACTTACCTTCAGTGGTTCTATTTAAATACACTATCGACATTTATTTATTTAAACCCGCATGTCAATCATCGTTTTTCTTCGTGTGGATTTGTGAACACACTTTGTAAACAGTATGTAAAATAGTACGCGTATTCAATGCATTGTTCATCTTTTAACAAGTGTTTGTACCAGTGTTACTCTACAGAGTAGTGGGTCGCCGCTCCTCTTATCCGCATTAATACGAGCGGTATGTGGGGACTATGGATTAACCGCAAAAAAAAACCTATCTGCACATATGCATACAGACAAGAGAAGTATTATCAAACAGGAGGAATTAACGGTGAAACGCATCTCATTTGTTAAATATCTGCAGGTAATAGTATTGTCATCGATTGATCCTGGCTGCAGACATTGGTAGGTCAATAATAATGAAGAGAGCAGTTTCACTGTATTATGCATACCGTTATGACAAATAAAGGACTTAAGGCATGTAGGCAGTTTGAGCAGCTTTGTATAAGACTTATGATTCTGCCCATACCCCAGCACGGAGTGCATTCACTTGTTCAGCTGTTCTGCGCATTCGTCCTCGCTGCGCTTGGACACGACATGACAACAGAATGATCCGCGCCAGGTGGGTCGTGGCGTTTATGTGCGCGGTGGAACGGAGACACCAAAAATAAATTTATTAATTAGGATTTTGTTTATTCGGGAACCCAGGGTCCCGCCATAAGGTTCAAATAAGAAATTGTACCTGCAAAAATCACTCAAATGGGTACAAAATAAATTTATTAATTAGGATTTTGTTTATTCGGGAACCCAGGGTCCCGCCATAAGGTTCAAATAAGAAATTGTACCTGCAAAAATCACTCAAATGGGTAAAAATAAACCACATAGCAACAGAATCAAAATATTTATTTCTACTGGAGGAATCTGATGAGCTATAAAGCTCTTTTTCACAGATGTCTAGGAAACATTTCCCCCTACTGGCAGACAATCCCCATCTGTGAATAGCAATAATAATAATAAACAATTATTAAGCATTTTATATTTGTTCCAACGTGGTGCACTGTATTACAGATGGGTATAGTCTGCAGGTAGAGGATGATTATTTGATGTGGTTTTTCCAATTGAGAAATTTGCGGTGGCATTTTTCTAAATTGGGCAAATTTGGACCGTTACAACAGCACACAACGACCTAATGTTGCGAATGACATCACGGGATCTTTAAGGTCCGCTGTGAAGCGGACAGCGTGTAATAGTATTTACGGTTAACACGCTCGCGGTATTAACCAGGACGGCCGCTGGGTTGGAAAAGAAAATCCTGCCTTTTCGTAAAAAAAAACACCTACGTGAAGGAAAATCGCAAAAGTAAAATGACAAAGAGATTCCACAGGTGAGGGCGGCGATGGGGTGCTGGGGTCGTGGAGGATGGGGGGAAGAGGCACCTTGCGCACGTGGCAGGAGAACAGCGTACGAGTGTACTTGTCCTTGCGCTTGAGCTCGTTAGCCGCGGAGGTGAAGTATGTCATCCTCGTGTTGTTCTCCTTCATCTGCAGGAACACCGTTCCCTCGTTAGCTCCGCGGCGCGCTTTCATGCCGTGTAAAACTGAAAAACTTTTTTTTTCTCAAACCAGGTGAAGCCCACTGAGCTACGTAGCTCTTTTTCAGAAGCGATCTCGCCACAAATGATAGCTCAGCGAAGTGTCTCATCACGTGGAAATTTATAGCAGCCAAATACTCAAAATGCATGTTTTTTTATGTGAAGGGAAAAAGCGGAGGACCCGGAGAGAAATCAATCCAACCACGAGAAGAACATGGAAACTCCAATTATACAGTCGTTGGGTACAGGTCCGACGTTTCGCTCCACATGCTGGGAGCTTCTTCAAGGAGTTGAATCAATTCAGTCGAGTCAAGTCAGTTCCTGAAGAAGCCTCCAGCACGTGGAGAGCAGCGCGGAACGTCGGACATCACGCCGCCGAGCAGCGCACGGCACTGTCCGAAATCTCTACAGAGAATTGCACTGCACAACTGGGGAAACCGGCACGGCCAGAGTAATTCACACTCCCTCATAATCATTGACCTCAAAGCCATCTAGTTGCGCCGGGGTTAGAGATAAACGACATTACTCACGATCATGAAAAAGAAAATATACTCCTGCGATCCAAGGAAACAAAATAAACAAACGAAATAAGCAAAGGGGCAGCACACATCCCTCAAGTGACAGGAAAAACTGAACACCGCTGTCAGAGGAAGGATGAAAAGCGCCCTTGGGATATTAAAGTTCCAAGGTCAGCCCTTGTTCAGTCAGCGCATCCGTGATGGTGGCCGTTAGGAATGGACGTTCAGCTACGGGCGCTCAGTGGTAAGCATCGCGACGATTGAGGAGCCAACAATCAAAGTAAACACGGTCATCAAGATTGTTATGCGCCAGCTTCGAGACACCAAAGTGAAGAGGCAAGGAAATGAAAACGTCCATGTACACATGCTACAAACACATGCCGCCATGTGTACACGGCACCCTTCACTCAATTCTGCTTCACGTCGCGTTAGAAAACTAACGTAGGATATCCCACACCCACGTGCACGTGTGCAGAAACAACAACAAAAACCGCCATTCGCCACTAAGTGGCGGTGACGTCACCACGACGCTTGTGCCAGGCCATGTGCACCTTGAGGCCACGTGAAGTGCATAAGCAAAACACTTACACACGCGCGTGCACGTATTCAGAAACAAAACACTTACACACACACGCACGTGTGCAGAAACGAAACGCATACACACGCGCGCGCACGTGTGCAACAAAACACCTACACACGTGCGCACGTGCGCGTGCAATGTTATAAAAACAATTGTACAAGACAATATACAACAATAAGCGATGGTGACATCACCACAATTCTTGCGCCAGGCTGTTTGCACTCTAGGGTAAAGTGAAGTGTCGAGGCTTGCTGGTAGGTTGTCATGTGTAATGGGTTAATACATCAAAGACAACGACGCCGCGTATAGCCTTAACAGATGACGGCACGTCCTCCTCTGTTCGCTAACAGCACTTCCCCCAAGTCTGTTGAAGGCTATAGGGGGGACCTTTGTCTTTGTGTGGACAGCGTCGGTGCAGCGGTTGCCGCGCTGTGCTTTGACCACGGCTAAAAACAGTGGAGAGTTGAATCACATCTGATTCTGGGCTTCGCCTGCGTCAACTCAACACGCGAGGACACCGTGGGTCGTCCTGCCGCTTGTGGTGGCGGTGGTGGCACAAGAGCCGCTTCCATACCGAGGCCAGGTAGTTGCCCTCCCAGCGATCCTGGAGGCCCCAGTTCCGCCGTTTGCTTCCCAGCGCGTCGCTGGCCGCCACCTTCGCCTGCAGCTGTGGAAGGTCAGCGGGGGGCACGACCGCCAGGATCTTCTTGGCTCTCCATCTGCCAGGAGACGAAAGAGGCGAGGAGCTCGGAGGGGAGGGGGGTAGGGACCGCGGCGAGCAATTCGCAGGAACATCGACCGCCTAACTCGCCCTCCTGTGAGTGAGCTGTTAGCTGTGCGGCAAATTGATGCACCGGGCACAGCTTTGTGCTCAAGAACTGCACGTGTGTTGTTTGCGTGTGCGTCTGTGTGTGCACCGTATAAGCGGTGGTTATACAATGGTTCGCATTGTGCTACGAACCAGGTGACCCGTGTTTGATTTCCACTCACGGCCAACACCAGTGACAATTATCTGAACTTGTCCTGGGCGTCCCCTAGGTCGACTCTGATTCAAATTAGTACCTGGAGTGGTGTGTAAACATCACCACTCGGGAGACAAAGGCGACCGGGCGTGGGTCTGGTCACCTGCCCCCCCCCTTCATGTGCCATGCCGGCCTTCATAGCTAGGTGTTCGCCACCAGCACTTGTCCCTACAGTCTGTTTAAAGCTATACGGGGGTTCTTTGTCTTTATGTGGGTGTGTATGTCATCGCATGGGTAGCAGCAGCCATACAGCAGTTAGTGGGGAGTCGAATAACATCTGGTCCTGGGCTTCGCCTGGGTCAACCCAGCCTCAAATTAATAAATGTTGCATGGTGTAAACATCCACACCAGGGAGACAAAGGCGGTCGGCCGTGATGGTGGCCACGTCACTCTCTCATGCATGGTGCCAGCCTTTACAGGTACTCGCTAATTGCAATCGCCCCAACAGTCCGCATGGCTCTCTGTGTTTGCTATCACGTGTTCCCAGAATTGTAACACGCTTAGAAACTGGATATGCTGCAGGTACACTTAATCCGTGATCTCTTATTGTGTGTAGTCGTGCTATTTCACACGGGCAACTTCTTCTTTTTTCCAGTGTCACTTTATTCGTACAGAACTCCTCGCGCTCAACACCACGCGTCTCCGTCGCAACTCCTCCTCTTGTACTGCTCGTCCGCCACGCTCCTCCGCTCGATCTCTCTTGTTCCGCTAGCCGACGTTGCCCACTGCCAGCCTCTCACTATACACTCTGCTAGCTTCTCCACTGCCAAACTCTCACTATACACTCCACTAGCCTCTCTACTGCTAGCCTCATCACACTCACACTTAGGAGTCCGCTAGCCTCTCTACTGCTAGACTGTCTACCCTCACTCCTCCAACCTCGCCCGTGCCTCCAGCGGGGGATCAGCCAACACCGCTGCAGAGGACGAGGTGTGGAGAGCGGGGTCCCGGACTTCTCTTCAATTCACTCGCGTCTTCACTCCAACCAACTCAACTCCTCTGCCTCACACGTTCCCCTTTTATCCCCCTCCTCATTAAGTGCCCCCAGATGGCCCTCATTGAGCCGGCGTCTTCCCCACACCTCACCTCACGCACGTGTTCTCCCCCTTATCGCCACTATTTCTCGCCACCGTGGCGCCTTCTCCGCGTTTGCATTTGCAGCCAGCCAATCACTGCCTCTTTCCCTAATTGCTGGCGTCTCTCTGTCTGCTGTCACCCAGGCCACCCGCCTGCACCTGCTTAGCCTTAGCTGACCTCACTATCTGCAACCCCGCACATAATGCAACCGTTGTTTGCAAACCCTGCGAGCGTTACGCCACTACATGTGTGTCCATGACCATCAACAAGACCACAAGACCTCTGAGTGCACCTTGCCTATAACGGGCATCATGGTATCAACACCATTGGTGGCTTTTTTTCGTGGTTGTTAGTTTAGGCTAAACTACTATTTATAGTTGGCTCAGAATTTTGAACTTCATATCATGACGGTTGTGTGAATTATTCCACTAACAGGACCGGTTCATCGATATCACTCACCACTGATGTTAGCCGTGGCTAGGAATCAAACTCAGGTCACCAGGTTCATAGCAAAGTGCTAACAAACCGCACCAATGCTCCAGCCACCCTCTAAGCCGTGTCTACACGACGGTGCAGGAAGTCGCTTTATTGCTTCAGAAATCCCATAGCCATGTTACAGGCAGCGATGCGCTACCGTCTCATTACCGGCTTCAAAAAACCTAACACAGTGAAGAGTGTTTTCACAGCTCGACGCTGAGCAGAATTAGAGACGACTGTCAAAGTGCGAATGCACGGCCGTGTATGCCCCGTGCCCTCACGCATGTCCAAGCGTGTGGCACGCGTGAGGCAAGATAAAGGCGGCCGGGCTTGGTACTGGCAACCCACCCCCTACGTGTGCCGTGCTGGCATTCATAGGTGCTCGCTAACAGCACTTGCCCCAACAGTATGCTAAAGGCTATACGGGGGTTCTTTGTCTTTGCAGCTGCAGCGCCGTCAGTTTAATGAAAGACCGACGGCGCTCGTTTCACTGTAAGGAAGAGGCCTGACGATTCTCACGCGGCAAATCGCCTTGCGAGAGAATCACGTGGGGGCGGGAGGGGGGGTTGTTTAATTATACTTCACCACTCTGGTCAGTGCGAGTTGAATGAAGCCGGTGAGCACAGCCGCGAGCGCATAGAAGTATAGCACGACAATCGGTTAATCTGCACTCTCTGCTGCCCACTACGTAGAGCAGCCCCCCCTCCCCCGTCGCCGCCTATGGCAACGTGATGAGCGTGGCGGTGGTTGCTCGTCCTAGCGTGACACGGGGATGCTAAATCCTGCTTAGTTTCCGAGATCTGACGAGGACAGGTGCATGCTGGGTACTTTGGTCATCGGCTCTTCCTCTTGTCAAAGCAGCATAAAATGGCTACCCCATTGTAATGCATTGACGCCAGTGTAAGGGAGGTTAATTCCTCTCTATAAAATGTGTAGTGTCTCCCAAAGCTGTTTGTGGCTGTCCCTAGGGCGTCGCGGTGGTGAAATGTTAACTAGCTCGCCTGGAATGTAGGAGGTCGTGGGTTCGATCCTGATGCTTATTTATGTGGAGTTTGCATGTTCTCCCCGTGGTCGTGTGGGTTTTTATCCGGGTTCTCCGGTTTTTACCTCCACATTTTAGAAACATGCGTTTAGAGTATTTTACCGCCATAAATGTCCACGTGATAAGCCACTTCGTTAAGCTGTCATTTGTGGCCAGGTCGCTTCTGAAAAAGAGCTGCATAGCTCAGTGGGCCTGACCTGGTAAAATCTAAAATTGTTTAGTTTTTAGACTGGCAAATACGGGGCCAGCATGACGTGCACGATACAGGAGACTCCAGCACTCGGCTAAGAGACTCGTAGAGTTAACGATAACACACACACACACAGGCCACGAGGATGCTCAACCTAGAATGTCATTTCACAAGCAGCGGAATTGATTTGATTTGAGGAAGGGGAAATGTTATTTTTGGCCTCCAAAATCAATCGGGTAATCAATTTGTCTTGGTATTATCTGGAAACTGTGGAGCAATTTCTTTTTTAAATTTGATCATTCCTGGGGCATGAAACGTGTAAATGCAGCTCAGTATATGCGCTGAAAGCAATCTTCAGCAAGGACAAAGATGAGAGTCAGAATGTCGGTCATGAGGATGTTGTTTGTCAGTGATGACGATCATAATGGTGGCAGTGGCAGTAATAGTGGTGGTAAAAGGTAAAAGTGGCAGTAGTGATGATAGTGATGATGACGATTATGAGTATATTATAATGGTGGTCATGACAGTAGTGGTAATTATAGCAGGATCAGTAATGTTGATGATAAATGATGATGGAGGACGTAAAGATGGTAGTTATGATGGTGATGATGCTGCTGCTTGTTCGAAGTGGAGAGACCAAGTATTACGAAAGCACTTGCAAATGGCAACATCACCCCTCGCACTTTCCTGTTTTTTCGCCAGCCAGCCCAGGCCTCCTGGCATACTGGAGCTGGCTTCTCATTATTGCTGGGGACGTCGAATTGAATCCAGACCCGTTTTTTCCTTGTGGCGGCTGCGGCAAGAACGCCAATGCAAATTCTATCCAATGCAACGGTTGTAAAGCTTGGTACCACAAACATTGCACTACTTTAGCCCGCATCCCCAGCTCAAATTCCGGCTGGTTCTGCAAATATTGTACATCATCCACTCCAACAACTCCACCTTGCACAACCACACTAACACCACCACCTCATCCATAGCAACCATCGTTTCAACCAGAACAAAACGTCCACAACAAAAACGACCTAACATTATTTAACTAAACATCAACGGCCTCAACAACAAATCTCTTGAATTCAACACCTTTCTACAACAAAACTCATCAATATAGCCACCGTCCAAGAAACAAAATTCAAATCCACTTCTCGCCCGCCCAACTTTCTAAATTTCACTTTCCGCCGTCGAGACCGACCAACAGCTGGTGGCGGTCTAGCTTTCCTCATCCATAACAGCATTCAATTTGAAGAAATTAAAATCCCAATGCCTCCTTCTGATATCACCACAGAAGTCTTAAGCGTCCGTATCAAATCCCATCTACGCACACTCACTATAATCAACGTTTACATCCCACCGACCAGTACTTGTCCTCGCAACTATCACTTCAATATGAATCGACTTTTACCAAACAACGACTCAATTGTTATTGAAGATTTCAACGCCCACAACAGACTTTGGCACTCTTCCCTTTCGGATGCACGTGGTGACCTCATTGCCAATATCTTGAACGGCTCCCCCTATGGGGTACTCAATGAAAAGAATCAAACCAGTGTTCCGTCATCTGGCCCTTCATCCTCACCAGATATCTCAATAGCGTCAGGAAACCTCCTTTCATCAATCGACTGGCAAGTCTTTACGGCCCTTGGATCCGACCACTGACCTATTGTGTTGACCCTCAATGCCGCCAAGCCTTCTAAAACTCCTAAAAACCGCCAACTGGCCACTTTTTACTTCAGAATCAGAAGCATTATTCGCAGACATCCACTATATCCACACATTCGCACATAACTCTGAAAATATTTTCATAAACATCATCGCAACTACCACCAAGCACACCATCCCGGCAGGTTGCTACAAGCAACACCTTCCCTGCCTCCATAAAGAAGCATCAACGCTAATAAACCAAGGACACACTATAAGAACTAAAAATCCTACATCACAAATCCCAGCCTTCAATAATGAAATCACAAAGCTAATCAATCAAGCCAAAACAGAACGCTGGCACGAGTTAGTTTAATCTTTTTACCACCGCCAAAACTCAGCAAAACTTTGGAAGACCATCAAAGCCTTAGACAGACACTCCAGACCGCCACTCAATTGTGCAATCACATTCAGCAACAAATCCGTAATAAACAACAATAACATCGCCAAACACTTCAACAAACTTTTCTCATCAGTTGTCCCATGCTCTTCCAATAAATCCACCCGTCAAAAAATCCGTCAAATCAAGGAACTACTTCAAAACAACGCCCCCCCCCCCCAATTTAGCCTTGAAGAGGTGAAACTAGCGATAAAAAAAGCCAAAAATTATCCCACAATTGGCCCCGATGGCATAGCTATGCCCCACCTCAAACACCTCGGCCCCGTTGACATAAAGTTTCTCACCTCCATCATAAACGCCTCACTCAAAATTGCAACCTCATTCCGGCCATCTGGAAATCATCGAAAATCATCCCACTTCCAAAACCCAGCAAAAACCTAAATTAAGCAACGTCCTACAGGCCGATTTCCCTACTTTGCCCATCAATCAAGATTTTAGAGGCCCTCATCCTTCCAATCATCACCACCAATTTACCTCTTATCATGTCACCAACATGGCTTTCGCCCTGCACACTCAACAACAACAGCTCTTCTCCAATAAGAGTACAGGTAGTCAGCTATGCCGACGACATCACAGTTTACACTTCTAATCAAAATATGCCCAAAATGGAAACTCCATCAACTCCTATCTAAAACGGTTCAGCACTTTCCTAGCCAATAGATCGCTTCAACTCTCAACATCCAAATCAACAATCACCCTTTTCACACAATATCCTCATCAAGCCAACTTACATCCCAACGTCATAATAAACAACCAACGCCTCCCACTAGCAAAAACCCCAAAAATTATAGGTGTAACATTTGACACCATGTTCAGCTTCGCTCAACACGACAGAAACGTCCATGCAAAAGTTAACAAACAAAATAACATCTTACGAGCTTTAGCCGGCACATCTTGGGGTCAACAAGAGGAGACTTTACTCCTAACCTACAACGCCATTGGACGTCCCGTCATCAATTATGCCAGTCCCATTTGGTGCCCAAACCTCTCCTCTACAGGTTTCCAAACACTCCAAACCGCCAAATACCAGGCACTTCGCCTAGCCACAGGATGTCACCTCATGGCACCCATTGACCATCTCCACCAAGAAACCAAAGTTCTTCCGATTCAAGAACACTGCAAGCTTCTCACCGATCAATATCTGGCTTCATGCCACTCGACAACGCATCCTTGCACAAAGCTACTCAAAGCCCCTGCACCTGCTAAGAAAATGAAATCCACCTTGCTTTCATTCAGCTCTGCCAACGTTCAATCTACTTGAAACGCTCTTCCACCAAATCGCACCACCAAATCAATTTTGAACCACTTGCACACCGCTGCCACCATGCACTGCCTGAACACCTACACAAGCCCCCAATGTCGTGCTAGGGGGTTGGCCCCCACCCATAGCAGACAACGAAAAATCCCTGACCCGGGCAACTCGCACAAAACTGGCTCAACTCCGTTCAGGTTACTGCTCCATGCTCGTCGATTACCAAAATCGAATCCACCCCAACGCCGCAAACTTCTGCCCTTTGTGTCAAGCAGCGCCATAAGACGTATCCCATTTTCTCAGTTGCCCAAAACGCAGACCAAAAGTTAAATCTATTGATCTCTGGCTAAACCCTTCCAAAGTGGCGACAACGCCACCTATAAACAGAAAGTGCAAGGAATACAACAACAACATGACAATGGCAGTAAATAATGACAGTGGTGGTGATGGAGATAATGATAGTGTATGGTGATTGTAGTGGTAGAGATGAGTATAGTGGTTTGGTGGATGTGGTGGTGGTGGTGGCGAATATGATGATAGTAGTAGTAGTGAAAACAGCAGTAGTGATAATGACGACGTTGGTGGCCTCGGCGGTGATGTGGTGGTGTGGCGCGCACAAGTGTGACGATCTCTCGCTCACCGTCGAAAGATGAGACGGACGTATTGCTCGAAGGTCTGCAGCACGACGGGGGCCGGGGGCCACCTCACGCCCTTGCCGAGTTCGCGGGATTTCTGCACGCCCTGGAAGGCGTTGGTGAGCTTCAGGACGTACGAGCGCACCTTGTAGCGCCGGTACGCCGCCATGATGCGGTACACGGCGATCGTGCGCGTGTACCGCCGGCGGGCCAGGGCGCCGCGCCACAGCTGCATGGGACAACGGACCGCACGGGAGGTTTACGACGCGGCGATCGGGGGGGGGGGGGGGACGTACACACATACGAGGCTTCCCCGGCAGGTATCGTCATGCCGAATGATGCGTGGAACAACCTGAAAACGCATCGGAGAGCTACGCAGCACAACCGCAAAAGCCTCCACGGCAGTGTCTTCAGACGACGTTGTACTGGAGCTAGCCAGCAGGGGCTGTGATCACAGACGGCCTAGCTCGTGCGAGGCGATCCAGAAGGGCCGCATGAGCTCAGAGACACCAAGCACTGTTGTATTTGGTGTAGGGGTATAACTACGCAATGATTCCTCACTTAATATATTCTTTTTAAGTTCTGTTTCTCAAATTGTATCCTGATTTATAGGTATCATGCAGTGAGACGTCTAACCCATTTGGATCTCTCGCAGAGAAGTGCAAAACCTCCATGTGAGAGAAAGGCTCCTGGAGGTGGATATGACAGCACTACCTCTGAGTTCCAACCAAGTAACCTCTGCTCTACACGGTAGGGTGCAGTGCTTTCTCAACCGCCCTGCCATATGAGAGCAATGTTTGTCTCTTGAAATTCACGTGGACATTTTAGTACTCGGAAACTGAAATTTAGCAAAGCCACATTATTTTTACGTGCCGGTATATTTTGTGCAGTCATTGGTGACCAGTCTGAGACTACTAACTCAATGCACTTGAGGATCCGATTTAAGCACAGGAGGCGACGTGGATTCAAACCCAACCGTGCCGGCTCAGCGATCTGTCCTCCGTACCACCTGGTCACCTCAATTAATATACATTCTGCAGATCACTGCACCTGCATTTCATCACGTATGACCTATCCGTGTTCTTCAATTCATGTATGTTGCAGGTAAAGGGGTTAACACGGACCCTTGAGCAACTTAATATACAGAACTCTTTGATTAGTTAAGGCCCACTGAGCTATATAGCTATTTTTCAGAAGTGACCTGGGCATCATACATGATAGCTCAACAAAGCGGCGTATGACGTGGAAATTGTTTAGCAACCAAATACTCTAAACGCACGTTGTTTTTAAATGTGGAGGGAAAAACCGGAGGAACCGGAGAAAAATCCACTCGACCACAATGAGAACAAGCAAACTCCAAATATACAGCAGGCGTCAGGGTCGGAATCGAACCCACAACCTCCTGGATACCAGGCGAGGCAGTTAACACCTCGTCATCACAGTGCCCCTCATTTTTGGCTCAGTCTACCTAGGAGAGGCCCAGGAATGATCTGGTTCACATGTACACTGATGATATCCATGGCCGGGAATCAAATTCAGGTGGTAGCGCAATGTGCTAACCACTCTGTCACTGTTCCACACACACACAACAACCGTCACCACCACTAAGTGGTGGTGACGTCACCACGGTGCTTGTGCCGTGCTCGGTGCACTTTGCACAAAGACAAAGATCACCCATATAGCCTGTAATAAACTGTTGGGACAAGTACTGTTAGCGAGCACCTATGAAGGCCGGCACGGCACGAGGGGGTGGCTTCCAACACCACGCCAGGCCGCCTTTGTCTCCCCAGTGGCGATGTTTACACACCGCACCAGGTACTCATTTGAGGCTGACTCGACCTATTGGATGCCCAGGATCGGTTCAGATAATCGTCACTGGTGTTGGCCGTGAGCGGAAATTGAACTCGGCTCGCTGGGTTCGTAGGGCAGCGCGCTAACCGCTACACTACCGCTCCCCACATGCACACACAACAAATACAAAGATCCCCTGTATAGCCTTAACAGACTGTAGGGGCAAGTGCTGTTAGCGAGCACCTATGAAGGCCGGAAAGGTACACGAGGGGGTGGGTGGCCAGCACCAAGCCCGACCGCCTTTTTCTCCCTAGTGGCAATGTTTACACACCGCACCAGGTACTCATTTGAGGCTGAGTCGACCTAGGGGAGGCCCGGGACCGGTTCAGATAATTGTCACTGATGTTGGCAGTGAGCGGGAATCGAACCCGTGTCACTGGGTTCATAGCGCAGCGCGCTAACCGCTACACTACCGCTCCCCAAATGCACACACACACATGAATACACACACACATGAATACACACACACACATGAATACACACACACATGAATACACACACACATCAAAACACAACAAGGCATGCGTAGCCGGTAAATATAATGTAAAAAAACAGACTTCAATCACTTCTTATGTCACCACAAGACAACAAGCAGTGAACTGGCGCAGAGAGTGAGAACTCGTGTTCGTGGAGGCGTACAGATTATATTATTAAAATCTAATTTGGTGAGAGCACAGTGGCCTTGGAAGAGCTTCGTAGAGGTCACCGCGTGCAACCCTATCCTCGTTACTCAAAACAAAAAGACATCGGTTCTGAAAGCAAAACATCCTCCTTGTTAACTTTCTGCATTGCAGTCTGAAGATGCCCTTGATTGTCCATTGCTCAACGCAGCTGGCAGACTGTCCGCGTACGCAAGAGCGCTCTTTTGTCCGCAACCAGTGCGACCCATTTATAGGTGCCGGCTGAATTTGTAACGGCCCGCTCACTCGCCGCTAAACGAGCGACTGAAGATTGGGAGAGGGATGGCTTCCGTACAAATCTTTGCAGGGGAAAGAGAGAAGAAAGGTGGTGGCGGTGGCAACTATTCACAACTCAATCTTACCCCCCTCCCATCCCGGGTCTATATAACGCCGTGCCTCGCAGCCGGTTTTCTGTCTCACCTGAAGACGGTCGCTTGCGTTGCGATCGAAACGTCGCGATCTGTTATTGGGTCTACCTACGTGACTTTACCGAAAGAACCCAAGAGTATTTACAACTGGCATCGCGAATTTCCGTGACGCAGGTTCGGTTCCAAATGTTTAAATGAAAAGAGAGCAAAAACTGCAAGGTGCGGGAGAATGTGTGTCGAGCGCACACCATTCCTTGCTTAATAGACCTCAGCGACAATCGATGCTCGTATATTCTCTCCCTATTATTTTAGCGGGGTGTCTATAAACGGATGAACCCGGTGTATTGGTTGCGTCACCTTCGCCGAAGACACGGCGAGGGCAAATTCACCTCACCTATCCTCCCCTAGTTATGGCTCGAGAACCTCTGGTGAGAGAGTGGGGCGAGTGGTGGGTGACTGGATGCGGATGGAGGGAGCATGAGCCATGAGCTGCTTTGGAGCAGGGAGCTCGAGGAGATATTGAATGGATTAATACTGGTAGGAACCTCCTGGTTACACCAGCCCACAGGGGATTATTGTGTCCGTCCGTCCTGCATCTAAAAATGGGAAGGGCTGGGCTGGGTGGAGAGGGGAGGGAGGAGAGGGGCTGGGTGGGGAGGGGAAGGTGGGGAGGGGCTGGGCTGGGTGGGGAGGGTGGGGCTGGGTGGGGGGTGGGAGGGGTGGGGCTGGGTGGGGAGGGGCTGCTCACCCCGTGGTGCCCTTATAAAACTCAACGTTTAACCTACTCACGCCGGCTTGTGCCCGCCCTCACAGTAGGCCATATTTTCCGAATACACCACGCCGCCGTTGACCCTGCAGGCCATTGACCGAGCAACCCAACGTTCCTAACAGCTCCCTCCGCAGGAATGTGTTGGTAAAGCGCATGCACCCTGCTGTGTTTCACTGTAGATACGCTGACAATGCATCTCCTCCTTCGTAAACATCCGTCTCTCCACTTAAAAATAACAAGTGCGTTCTTTTTTAAATCGCATAAACCGTGATCCCCACGGCCGTCTCGGAGCACATGTCACTTCACAAGCAGCATTGATCCCAATAGCGCACGAGCAAAACTAGATAACAATGCGCTTGGAGAATTCGGCTGCTACAAATGTCGACGTTGTAAGAAGCCGCTTCGTTGAGCGCTCACTTGTGGCCCGGTCGCTTCTGAAAAAGAGCTACGGTAGCTCAGTGGGCTTTACCTGGCAAAAAAAATAAAGTTCGTAGTTTTAGTTTAATATCTGGACCGGTTTAGACATGCAGTGTCTCATCAGCGAAGTCAGGCTCGCTTGCCTCACTGCAGCTGGTCGATGCCGGATGCAACTCTCGTCACGAGTGACGAAGTCAATCCCCTTTGCATTACCTTCGAATTTTCTTTGCAAACACTGCCTGCGCATTTTCGTGGGAGCCACCAGAGGTGGGACAAAGTCATTGTTATGCAAGTCCAAGTCGAGTCTGAAGTCATCAAATTCATGACTCGAGTCTGACTCGAGTCCAAGTCACATGACTCGAGTCCACACCTCAGAGGTGGGACAAAGTCATTGTTATGCAAGTCCAAGTCGAGTCTGAAGTCATCAAATTCATGACTCGAGTCTGACTCGAGTCCAAGTCACATGACTCGAGTCCACACCTCAGAGGTGGGACAAAGTCATTGTTATGCAAGTCCAAGTCGAGTCTGAAGTCATCAAATTCATGACTCGAGTCTGACTCGAGTCCAAGTCACATGACTCGAGTCCACACCAGCTCAGAGGTGGGACAAAGTCATTGTTATGCAAGTCCAAGTCGAGTCTGAAGTCATCAAATTCATGACTCGAGTCTGACTCGAGTCCAAGTCACATGACTCGAGTCCACACCTCAGGGAGCCACGCCCGGGGTGGAGAAGGAGGGGCGGGGAGACGTCACAAGGCACGAACCGCACTTGTTGACGTCATCGGCTTTCGGGACGATGACGTCATGCCTACACGTTGGCTTTAAATCGGTGTGGGTCTTTAACCTTTACCGCAGCCTTGCAGCTCCTTTAGTTCTTAGAAAGGGCATCTTGCACCCCCAGGGGGTGCGTGCACCCCAGGTTAAGAGCCACTGCTTTAAATCAATTCATAACCCACGTTCCAATTGCTTTGTATTGGACGTTGTTCTTTTCTTCTTCTGAATTTCGGAGGCAAAATGACAATTCATAAAGGCGACACGTTTTGGAGATTCAGTGCGTGTCGTATACTTGCACATTGTATGCATAAACATTTTATACACATACACTGTAAATTGAAAACCAATTTCTTAAGAAATACTTGTGCTGA